TGATGCCTATTTACATGGCCAGATGTTTATGCTGTACGCTATGAGGAAAGTGAGTTATAAAACAGCAATTAGGGGACAATCCTGTGCACATACTAGTGTCTAGAAAAAGTTTACAACAATAAGTAGCAAGATGTCAAAAATGTTTCTTATGGACATGGGAAGGTGCAATGTGTTTTTTTTCTTTATCTTCTATTTTTTCTATGATAAATAGTATTTTTTTAAATGAGCAAATAAATACATTTAAAAAGCAAATATTACTGTTTAGCATTTTCCAGATTTCTTCTCCCAAATCAAGGTGGTACCATTTTTCTGAGCTCCTGATGGGAGACGAGAGGAGGATAATATTTCTACCCCCCTTGATAATTTTATTTTAAGCAAATTTCAGTGAATCCAAGTTTGATTTTGAAGAGGAAAGGACACCAGGACAATTTAGTCTGACTGGAGTATGTATATGAATGTGGGCTGTGTGTGTGTGTGAGCCTAAAATAGTAAAGGTTAATCCCTTTACCTTGTTAACATAGATTCTCATTGATTGGTGTTTGTAGCCTAAACATTTAGACTAGGGACTCTTCAAGGCAGGTGGTAACTTTTTATTCTCATGTCCTAGCCCAGTGCCTGACACATAGGAAGTGCTTAATACATGCTTGACATGTGAATGAATTTTTGAGCCTCATATTTCTGTAGTACCTGCGGGCAAAGCCAAGCCTTCTCTTCACCAGAGTCCCGTGGCTCCGCAGGTTGATGGTCTGGTGGGAAGGGAGGGAGTAATGGAGGTGATGAGTCAGGCTGACCTGGATTCAAACACTGGGTCTGCCACAGATGAGCAATTCGATGCTGTTTCCTCTTTTATAATATGGGGATGATAATGTTGTGGATCCTGCAAGATTATTGAAAGGATACGAATTAGAATATTTTCTCCTTTCAAACCCTTTTTTTGTGGATTTTACCTGAAAGCCTTGGAAAACTATTTCCCAATCTTAGAATCCATCTATGGAAGCCATTCTGTGTAACTCAAGGTCCAAGGAGAGGAAAAACACAGCACTTCTATCCAGGGCACTTTCTGAAGGTGGTTACTGCTGGCTTTCGCCAGGAAAAGAAACTCTTTAGCAGGAGTTGGTGGATTAGCAAATAGCCTTATCTCAGCTCGGCATCTCTGTAAGTAAGTCAAGGCTCAGAGCAGCCAAGTGAAAGTACTGGAAATGTCTGAGGCCTTAAAATAGCAAAATGCTTTGAAGAATCGCATCTTCCTAATGGAAAAAAAAAGAACTCACATGAAAAACGACCGTCAGTTATTTATATGCAGCCCAGGCTTCGCACATGGCGATGTGATTCACACTGAGCTCCGTGTACCGTATTCAAGGAGGCTGGAGGTTAAAGGAGGCACTGCCCCAGCCTTTTCCCAGGAGGCTCAGTGGCTCAGCTTCTCCATGACACAGCCTCCTGGACATCACACAGACTCGGTCTCTGCCAATATCATTTAAGTCAATGGTTTGTTCATGTGATCAAAATGACCACATGAGAGTGGCTGGCAATGGAGTATAGAGAAAAAAGGGCCCATATTCTAGTTTTTGTTTTTACTAATATGTTGTAAGGCTCCCCCCATCCCCAAAAGTAGGGTACCTTGTGGTTACAACAGTCAATGGCCCACAGAACAGGTTGACTGGAGAGATTTTTACTGGTGTGTGTGTGTGTGTGTGTGTGTGTGACTTATTAAGGCTGTGCAGCAGTGACATATCTCTTGCCACTGTACAGATACTGAACCCTGGGGTATATGCAAAGAGTGGTCTTCTATAGTATATCGCAAAAAGGAAAAAGAAAAAGAAAAAGAAAAGAGAGAGAGAGAGATGGCTGGCCAGGCCCACTGATTAGCATACTGGAATGTTCACCTTGAATAATTCAGGTTGATAGAAGATATAAGCAAACCTATTAATTTTCAACGTAAATAATGAATATTTGAGCTCCAGAGCAAGTTGACCTTGCACCTTGGCCCTGGGTGGCACGATGTCACGGTTCTGAAGCCATCTCCTTCCTACCGCCCGTGGCACCGGCTGCCCTGTAATTGAGAAGTCAGGTGAGTTCTTATGTGAAAGCGAAGGCTCTGTGCGTGCGATCCCGGGAGAATGCTTCCCTGATCCTCTCCAACTGGAAACAGCCCCGAGTTGCTGGCAAGGTTGCTCCTAAGCTTAGAGTATCCAGGACAGCGACTGATAATATATGCTAATCTGGGACCAAGTCAATTGCCTGAGGATGTTGGGTCTTAGGTAAATGGAGAACAGGGTGCTGGGAAGGGGCTCAGTAGCCCCACATGCTGCTGCCGCCACAGGTGGCCCGGCGGGCCTCGGACGCCCTTGTTCTGCCTCTCGCTGCGTTCTAAAATGGATGATCACACTGAGCTGGGGGTCAGGCCAGTCAAACAAAGGAGCTCTGAGGTTGGCCTGCAAAGTGAAAACTGTCAATTACCCTATTTTATGTCCTACCTACATTTCCAGTGGCAGGGTCCTCATTTCCATTAGACCAATTTGGTACAGTGCCGCCTGCTCTCATCCTTTTACCGTCTTGTTTGAACAGGAGAAATGAGTGCACACGAACAGGGATGAGGACAGGGAGGGAGGGGAGCGGAGAAAAGGAGACAGAAAGGAAGAGAATCAGTTCAAAAGGGGATTTTTAACTCCTGACTTGACAGTTCGTTCAAAGCGACTGTAGCATCATGATGAAAGCTGGTCGTCGTTGTAACAAGGAGGGTGACTCTAGTCATAAGCGACCTGGTTTTGAAACCTTGGTTCGCTGATGTTGAGAATCTTAGTCTGTGAACAAGGAAGTCTCTCTCAGATTCCAGATTAAACACTGGGTGTGGCCTAAAGAGGCAGTTTGGCTCGTGGATAGAGCATCAGCCTGCGGACTAAAGGGTCCCAGGTTCGATTCCGGTCAAGGGCATGTACCTTGGTTGCAGGCATATCCCCAGATGGGGGTATGCAGGAGGCAGCTTATTGATGTTTCTCTCTCATCGATGTTTCTAACTTTCTATCCCTCTCTCTTCCTCTCTGTAAAAAAGTCAATAAAATATATATATATATTTTTAAAAAGGGCACAGAGAACCAGGGCCAGAAATTGGTCTTTATGCCTTCCTGCTGTGCTATTTGCTCAGGAGGGATGCCAGAGGCAGACCACACCAACAGTACAGTGGGGATGTCACCCCTTTCCTGTGTGACCAATTCTCAGACTTTGCAAAATGTCTGAAAACACCTGGTATCTGTTCTCTATGGCTAGGGAACAAGTTATGACAAACTCAGCAGCTTGACAATTGATGTGTATGACCTCAGTTTCCAGGGTCAGGAGTCCAGGCTCAGCGTCACTGGGTGCTCTGGTCAGGGTCTCCCAAGCCTGCAACTCAGCTTTCAGCCGGGCTGTATTCTTATCTGAAGGCTCCCTGGAGAAGAATCTGTCTCCAGCCCATCTGGGTGTGGGCAGACTTTGCTTCCTTTTAGCTGTAGGACTGAGAGCTGGCTCTCAGCTGGAGGCCCACAGGTCTTGCTACCCAGGTTTCTTGACTGCCACTTCCTCAAGCCTGCATGAAGAGTTCTAGCTGCAGGCTCTGTAACATTCTGTAATTACTGGGCTGGTATCTACCACCATTGGTGTATTTTGTGCATTAGAAGGAAGGCACAGGCCTGTCCATATGAAAAGGGAGGAAATTATACAAAGGCATGAACACGAAGAGTTTGGAGGTCACTGGGAGTCACCTTAGGGTTTGCCTGTCACATGCCTGGAATCTCTTCCCACCTCTCTCTTCACTCACCTTACTGGAATTTTCTCTCAAACCAGCTGAATCTATGTTCTCTGACGATCTTCAATGGGGTGATCAGCCATCCCAGTTTCCCCAGCGCTATCCTTGTTTTAGCAACGAGGGCCCTTCATTTTGGGCAGCTCCTCAACAAACCAGGACAGCTGGTCACCTTAAGCAGATCGTAGACTTAATCTTTAATTTCTCTCTGACCAGGATTAGGGGTGAAAGAGAAACGGAAAGTTCTTACCCAGAGTGGTCTAACTGTTCTCCAAGCAGACCTCGGTGAGGATTGGGACATACTCAGCTTGACAGCTTTATCTGAATTGACTGGTTATGAAGGCATCAACATGGTCATTTCAGCTACCTGTAAACAGAGAGACCTGCATCAGAGTTACACGTGCCTTCAATAGCACATGAGGATAATGTGAAGTCCCGAAGTTGAGTGCGTAGGCCTATGTATGCCCATTACAGGAACTTTTCAGCATAAAACACAAGCCAGTGTAATTTAGCCTGCTGGAGACAGAGCTCATCAGCACTGAGGGGAGGCAGGGTTATTTATGTAACTCCCAAAAGGTTCAAGGCCAGGTTCATGTGGGCAAAGAGAGTGGTGGTGTTAGACTGCTTTAGGGAAAGGGGTCCAGTGTACTAACCAGCACAGCTCTACCTGCTGCAGCCAAGCCTCCATCCTATAGTCCAATCAAATCAAATTGAAACTCTTGTCTATGGGCAAGAAAAAGGCCCAGGGCAGGGCAATCATCTACTTCGCCACCTGCCCAGCCAGGCAGGTTTCTATCATTGGACACCACACCATGTAGGTTGGTTGATGAAAAGGTCTCAAGTCTCGGAAACATAAGAGATGTCAAGTATTAATTCAGGAAGTTCAATGTCCAATTAAAATAAATAATGGTGATAAGAGAAGTGAGATGTACCAGAGAATTAACACAAGAGATTTTTTTCCTAGATTCTTCAAATGGAAAAAGACATCAAGTGCCAGGCACAATGAGTAGGAAGCATCTCAACTAGACACACACGGAACATTTCAGAACAGTAACCAGAAAGAAAAGATCCTTAATGTCTTCAACAACAACAACAACAAATGAGAAATAAAAGTTGTATTGGCTTTTTCCCTTTTTCCAGAGTGTTTCACAGGAGTTGTGTGCTGTGAAACATTCTTTCGGAAATGCAGGCCGTTCGTAAAGACACAACACTTGCTTGGGCAGGAGGAAGGGGAAGAACAAACAAAACCGTGATAAGGAACACTTTCAGTTTGTGTATCTCCCATCACTGAGGCAAGAACATATAGTTCTTTTCTCAGGAGAAGGGACAGGTAACTCTGACTTATTGGCAAACCCCCAACGACTCATCTTAACAATGTATGTAGGGCTGAATGGTATGGATTTGGGCACAGCTGCCAGGCCTGTGTGGGGCTTTTGTTCCTGAAGTGAGTTCTATGGGGTGAGGCAAAGCAGTCCAGTGGGCTCTGGGTAGCAGGATGCTGGCAGGGCTGTATCATAGAAAATAAGAGCGTGGGGTGGATCCAGAGTGAGCAGAGAAATGAGGACTCTCTGGGCCACCCGTTTTGAAATTTCTGAGCAAGACTGATCTGAAGGACATTAGTTCCTTAGCTGTAGCATCTTAAAGGACTACAGATGCCCCAAACCATACAATAAAAGAGGCATCACCCAGCTGATGCCAGGGTGGAGTCCAGGACCTTGGTTCCAGAGGACACTCTGAGGGAAGTTCAGATGGTTATCTTCTATTACAGCATCCCTGGAAAGGCAATGATGAATGGTGGACACAGCCCTAAATTAGGCATCAGAATTTCTGGATTCTGTGGTGCACCAAAGGGTACTCAGGGAGAGAAATCTTTAGTGGCCCACCTAAACTCTACCAGACTCTAGCAAAGCCTCCCCCCAAGAAAACTTGCATTTTAGGTAATAAATACTATGTTGTGAGTAAAAGCAGCTTTAAAATACGTATCCTATTATAGTTTCCCTCTCCGCATTACTTGCCATGAGCCTTTCCTATGTGGAAATTCTGGAGTGAATATCTGTGGTAAGGCTTCATCCTGCTCCTTGTTTGCTATATGGCCTTTTCTCCTTGGTTTGTTCACCTGTAAAATGGGAGCGGAAGAAATGGATGAATATCAACCTCTGATATTCCTTCCAACTCTGACATCTCTGAATTCCACATTCTCCAAAGGAGGAATGTTCTAGAACACACCAGTTTCCATCAATCCAGGTAGCTAAAAGCCAGGCAAGGAGGAGGTGAGAGGCATGTTGTCTGATTCGTAAAACCCCTTCTCCTTCCCAGGCCAATTTCTCTGTCTTCCCAGGGAAGGGAAGGCGAGCTGCTCGTCCATGTGCGGGCTCCACAAAGCACAGGGACAAACACGCAGTTCTTCCAAGTCCCCCGATCCTTCAGCAGTGCCAGCTGCCTGTGTGGAGCAGGCTCTGCTGACCCGGATGGGCAGACCAGGGCTCTGTGAGGTCGGCACGAGACACTTCAAGGTGCCTCTCTCTGCAGGATGTCCAGGGCTGGGTGGCCCTGTCCCAACACAAACACGGGGGCAGCGGTGTCCCGACCTAGACAGAGGGGAACACAAGAGAGACTTCCCCGCTAAGAAGATCCTCGGGTGTGCGTGGCTCTAGGCAGGGATGGTCGTTAGAACCCTCCCTCCTGATACCTTATTGTTCTTCCACATTCTGATGGAGTGCAGGAGGCTGAGGAACTGATTCTATTCCCTGCTTACATTAGTTAAATGAGAGGGAGGTATCTGTGTGTGTGTGTGTGTGTGTGTGTGTGTGTGTGTGCGCGCGCGTGCGCGCATGTGTGTGATGGAGTAGGCACAGGAAAAGGACAGTTTTGAGATGATGCTATCAGGTCCCTGGGCTAAAGAAGAAACATGTCTGGCTTGAAATGGTTTCCTCTGGGGACCTTTTATGGAATCAGAACGCCTCTCCGGTTTGCAGTTCTGAAACCCACTACTGTGTCTGCAAAAACCGCTTTCATTTTCGAGGGGAAAAGGCCACAGCTCCTGGAGTCCCAGCGTGGCCGAGGAAAATGCCCCGGGTGAAGCGCATGCTGCGGATTCTGATTTCAAACATCAGCATTGATCTGGGCATCGATTGGGTCCATGTGGATGAGTGCGTCTGAGTGCCAGGTCCTGCCTGGTCCCCCGGGGCAGAGGATTGATCGTGGGGTGTAGCTGTGAGGCAGGGATGGAAGAGGAAGGACAAAGGGGGCCAGTCCCATGATGAGGGAAGCACCCCAACATGCTCTTTCAATAAAACTGAAATCCTGCAAATCAAAGTCTCACCCTTAGCGACTCCCACCCCCAGCACTTTGTGAGCATTTACTTTCTCCGGGAAGGCGCAGTGCTTTGATGGATGCTCCAGTTATAATCTATCTCTATTTACAGAACCACCAGGAGAGGGGCATGTGGATAAATGTCTAACCCTCCTTTCTTCCTGTAACCGGGACCCTGAACCCACTAGTTATAATAGTGTGATAATGAAGAAACTAGGTTTCTTCATAGATGAAGACCCACTGTGGGATATTTATTGAGCGCTTACAATGTGCCATGAGCTTAGGATTTCAAAATCACAATAAGATGTTACCTCACACCCATTAAAATGGCTTTCATTTAAGAGATATGCAAGAGGTGTTGGTGAGGATGTGGAAAAAAAGGGAACCCTTGTGCACTCTTGGTGGGAGTGTACATTGGTGTAGCCACTATGCAAAACAGGATAGAGGTTTCTCAAGAAATTAAAAATAGAACTATCATATCCAGCAATACTTCTGGGTATATATCCAAAAGAAACAAAAGCACTATCTTAAAACACACACACACACACACACACACACAAAAAAAAAAAAACAACAATAAAACCCCCAAAACACTCCTATGTTCATTGCAGCATATTTACAATACCCAAATTTGGAAACAACCTAAGTGTTCATTGACAGCTAAATGGATAAAGAAGTTGTGATGTATATTCAGTCATACAACATGAGGAAATCCTTCCATTTGCAACAGTATGGCTGTTGAGGACATTAAGCTAAGTGAAATAAGTCAGATGGAGAAATATAAATATTAAGTAATTTCATTTATATTGAAATCTTAAAAAAACAACATACCAAACTCATAGACACAGAAAAGAAATGGCAGAAATGGATAAAGGTGGTAAAAATGTACCATCTTCCGGTTATAATATAAATAAGTTTTGGGAATATAGTCATCACAATAACCCTAGTTAATAATACTGTATCACATACAGTATTTGAAAGTTGCTAAGAAAGTAAATCTCAAAAGTTTTTATCACAGAAGATAAATGTAACTGTGAGGTGTGGATGTTAACTAAACTTATTGTGCTGATTATATCATAATATATACATATATCAAATTATTATGCTGTACACTCTCAACTAATATATGTCAGTTATATATAGATAAAACTGGGAGAAAACTCCTTTGAGGGTTTTGCTGCAGATGACAGCAAAGATATTGAGCAGCAACTAGCAGAAGAAATAGGGTCACAGTATGTTTTTGTTTGGTTTAATTTAGTTTTTTGAATATTTAAAGGCATTACGGATTTTGTGTGTGAGTGGATGTTTGTGGGTGGGTGCATGAGCACTTAACATGAGATCTACCCCTTTAGATTTTCAGTGGGCAATACAGTATTGCTATCAGTGCAGTGCAAACATCAGCATTGATCTTTAGAATGCATTGATCTTGCATAATTAATGAGAGGGAGGTATCTGTGTGTGTGTGTGTGCGCGCGCGTGCGCGCATGTGTGTGATGGAGTAGGCACAGGAAAAGGACAGTTTTGAGATGATGCTATCAGGTCCCTGGGCTAAAGAAGAAACATTTTTAAATGTTTTTCAAAGGCTAATATCCCTTTGTATGTGGGTACCACATTTTAAAAATTCATTCATCTATCTCTGGACATTTAGGTTGTTTTTGTGTCTTGGCTGCTGTGAATAGTGCTTCACAGAACATGGCAGTTGTGTGTGAGCCCTCTTTCCATCCCCACAATGAAAAGGGAAGTACAGGTGCCCAAGAGCCCCACATTCTCTGGGGGCACCAAGGGCACCCCCACGCCCCTCATCTGCCCACTTTGCACATTTCAACACAGTATCTCGTGTGGCAGCTAGTGTTAGCGCCACTTTAACTGCCACCATTTCTATTCATGGGACTTCTTCAGGGGAGGACTCTGCTCATGTCCCCTAACTTGCTATTGGAATCATAATAGTGTGATAATGATAACTGTAATATTATAATAGTGTTATGAGGAGATGAATGACTACATCTGATGTTGGGGGACGGGATTGTGGGGGAAGAAGAGGGGGCCTCCCCCAAGGTTACTATTTATTTGTTTACCTAACTTCAAAATTCTCTGCGGGCATTGCACAGACAAAGCCTGCTTCATCTTCCCAAACATGAAACGTTAGGTAAGACACATGTCAAATGAAAGTAGCTTTTTCAGTCAGTGTTTTTAAAAATTTGACAATCAAACTTCGTTAAATTCAAAAACAGACTTCCTGTTTTCCGTTTACTTCGTTTGGGGGTTAGGGACCATTCACCAATGACTGTTTTGTAGCCAATGACAGCCATGACAATAAGCACGCTTCCTGGCCCCACAGCTTCTGAATCCTCAGACTTGTACACCGGTTGGTTTTCAAACACTCATTATACTGGTAATCAGAGGGCAGGTCCTTGTTTTCAGTTCTTCCTTGACACTATCCTCCCCGTTTATGCTTTTTCTTGATTGACATCTTTATCTCTGTTTGTTCTAAGAGTCTGTTGTTTCCTACGAGCTGGAGGGGCTGTTGGGAGGCTACAGTCCAGGAGAGATGATCAGGGCCAAGCCAGGACACTAAGAGTGGGATAGGATTAAGGGCTGGAAAAGGAAATGTCAGAGGGGGGTCCTGGATTGCTATTTGGGGGACTGAGTGGATGGGGAGGCCCATAACCACTGCATGAGGAGAAAGAGCTCTCTCTTGAGTCTGCTGGGTTGAAGGTGCCTGTAGGACATCAGGTAGAGATGAAACAGGTAACAGCTTATGTAGGTCCTGCGTTCAGGAGTGAGAATGACAGATAGGGCCGAAGATGCGATTCTCTCTGTACTCACACCCTATGTGACAGATGCCAACCAACTGCCCCTCACCCAAAAGTTAGTAATGTCACAGCAGTAACCAAAGAAACATGTTTATTTTTATCAGTTTCTTGAATCCCACCTTTTGTCTTTTCTGACAGAAACGGACTAAAAATGCAAAACGGGAAGAATTAAAGTCTAAGGAGAAACCAAGCAATAATGAACTCACACTGCTGAGTGTCACGGCCACTCAGAACAGCTCTTTGTTCTAGTTGATCCTTGGGCAGAACGGGGTATCTTGAAGGTCTTGGCAGAAGTAGACAGGTAACTATTTTAGCATCGTGGTTCTAAATTTTTACACACAGTAGATTGTCCCAGTGCATCTGGCCTGTGGTGCTATCATCAGTCAACAGCAGAGTCATTTGAGAGCTAGCACATCATCCTGGCAGTGAGGGCGGCTGGGAAGGCGCGAGAGCATGCGCAGTGTGCAGTGTTGATGGTGTGGTGGCCCAGAGCTGTGCTGGTCTGGGACCCGGTGGCTTCTACCGCTGGGGAAGCTGGAAAGACGGAAACACTAGTGTTGTTGCCTTTCCTGAGCCAAAGCACGCCAGCAGCCGAGAAACCACACATCTCTTGTCTTTTTTAGCCAAACCACGCATTGGTCCATTCTGTCACTCCCATCTCCCAACTAGACACCCAGAGTCCCTCTGCCACCTGCCACTCTGCAGGACTGGCCCAACTGCCTTGATGTGGGAGAGGGAGGGTACACGCTGAGCTCTCCCAGCTCGGAAGAAGGTGGGGGAGCAGCTGAAACCCCCAGGAGGGAGCATAACTAACAGGGATCTCTGCCTCCATCAGAGATGTGGGGGACTGATAAAGGGTCATCATCAGTCATTGCTGTTGAGGTCATTCATTTGGGGCACGCTTAATTAAAGCTGCAGAAACTTTAGATATGGAATGGGGCTGCCAATTCCTGCGTCGGTTTAAAGATTGAATGAGAAAATGTGGGAAGTCAGACAATAGTTCCTGGTACTTAATAAATGCTTGATAAGTGGTAGTTATAGTCACCATTTGAGGAGTATAGAGAAGAGGTGGTTAAGATCTCCCTTCAGCCCAGATTTCAATTCTAGCTGCACCCCTTACCGACTATGAAACATAGACCAAGTTATTTAACTCCTAAAGCCAGTGTTTTAATACCTCTAAAATTGGGTTAACAATAGCTACTCCTGGGTTACTGTGAGTCTTAGATCAGATAAAAGTAAAAGGCTTTACTTTGAGATAGCATTAGTATTTTTATAAATACCTGAACATATGGTTTGTTTTTTTTTCATGCTTTATATTTTGATAGGGTCAAAAGTAGGTTCTGATTGGATCATACCCAGGCCTCTGAACTATAGTCAATCTAAGCTACATGTTAACCTAGACTGGGGTTGGCAAGTCTTCAGAAAAGGACTGGAGAGTAAATATTCTGGTCTTTGCAGGCTATACATTCTGTCTCAACCCCACAACTCTACCATTAGGCCAAAAAGCAGCCAGAAACAGTAAGTAAACAAACTGGCATGGCCACAGCCCAATCAAACTTAATTTACAAAATCAGGGTCACAGTTTGCTGACTCCTGCCTTAGATATACACACACAGCTCACCCCACCTGTAGGTGCTGAATGAGGTGGCATGGTTAGAGGAAAGGCAGGAAAGGTCCTCATGTCCCCACTCCCAACTCTCAGAAGGTGCCGCATACTAGACATCCACTATTAAAAAGTCATTCATTTGAATTAAGCCTTGATCTGCAGAGAAAGGAGAGATGCCTGTCAAAATGCAAATAACAGATAAAGATTAAGCTTTACTTTGAATGGGAATACTGTATAATTTTTGAACTGAGTGGCCTGGACCATGCTTGGAGGTGCCAAGCACCTGGCTTTCTGGAACAATGGAGGCATCTCATCCATCTAGCATCCTAAAGCAACCCCGGCCTCCCTCCCTGCCTCTCCATCCTTCCTGACTCTGAACCCCACCTGTGTGTATCCATCACCACCAGCAGTGTTGAGTCATCCTAAGGCTGCGGGTGGGCCCTCAAAGAAAACATGTTTCTTCCAAGGGGCACATCTTGCCTGTGAAGCTGAACACTGAATCACTTCTACCCCTCCTCCCTGTGTCAGCATCCCAGGGACTCTGGGTTCTGTAACAGGGAGGGAGGGGAGATGATGGAGTTAGGACATCCCTGCAGCTCAACTCCAGGACAAAAGGAAGCTGCAGAGCTTAGAAATGGGGCTGTCAGTGGAGAAGGGTCAAGTCCATTCTTGCTGGGTAAGGAGAGACAATAAACTAGTAATTCTTGGTAGGCATGTTTTATTCATCTACTCTGTCATTTGTCTAGGGCTCACCATGGTTACGGGTAATTATTTCCATGTTGCAGATGTGGAAACTGAGGCTGAAGGATTCAATTACTCACTGGAGGTCACGCGGCCAGTAAAATGTAGTTGTAGGCCTGAAGCCATGCTTGTTAAGTGAACATCAACTTTGTCCTACCCGGTAGCACAGCTTTCCTGGCCTGTCCTTTATATCAAGGGCCTGTCAGCTCAGCACTGGCTGCTGCGCACCCCTACCCACAGTATGGGAGACAATGGGCCTCATGACCTGGGGATTTCTCCCCCAAGGTGTTTCAGCTGACTCTTGTCAGTGGGCAAAGTGCCATTGACTCCATCTTCTCCTCCTGTGTCCTCCCCTCAAGCCCGCTCCTCCCTCACCTCGCACGGAGCCAACTCACTCCCGTTAAGTAAATTCCATGCTTTTCCATCCCAGTGAGCTCAGCCTGTACTTTGATTTGGGTGCAAGCAGCTGCAGGTGCCTCGAGTCATCATGTGCTCGCGTCCCCCTCGCGCCGCAATGTCATCCATGTTTACTTGCTGCTCTGGACTTGAGATTCTGTCAGGATGCCAACCGGCGGGGCCGCCAGGCACCACAGCTGACAGTCAAATCTGCGGGGCCGAGTCCTTCTTCTGGAAAAAAGGGCGAAAGAGGTTAATACACTCAAGTCAGGATAAACACACCAGCTGTTAGAGTTGCTAATATTTAATATCACGATCAAATAAATAACTCGGGAAGAAACCTCTAGCTCACACACCGCAGAAGCCCACAGCCCACTGCTCCAGCCTCGGCAATGACAGATAAAATTAATAAATTATCTTAAAAGCCTCACAATGGAGCAATGGCCGGGACATGATTAAGAAAACATTTGCATAGCGCCGGCTGCTGCTGCTGCTTCTGTCCAGGCACACAGTCCCCCAGGTCAGCCCTGGAGACAAGAGCTGGGAGAGCATCAGGAGGGAGGGGGTATGTCCCAGCCATTTGAGGTTTCCCTCTTGGTCTGGTGGGATCTCAGCACAAGTAACCCTACTTTTGTTTCCAAAGGGGACATCTCCATCTTAAAAAAAATACAACGCACTTCTGCCCACCCTCACAACCAAACAATTGTTTTTTTTGCGGAAAATTCACTCAAACTTTGTACTAGTAACGGGTTTGTGGATGATGGACCATCTTACCGGTTGACACAGTGCTTTGCTGTTCCCTCTGCAGCTACTTTGTGCCCAGATGCCAGGCAGAGTGAGGAGCGCCTATTTTTCTCTTGTAATGGTAGCCTTCCGATTCCCCGGACACTGACGTGAACACAGAGCAGGACAGAATTATAACAGCCTGTTAACTGTGTCAGGAAATCATCAGTGCACTTTTTTTTCCCCCCCAGTTCGCTGGCTGCTGTTCACCTGGGCTATGGAGGCAGAAAATGATGCTCAGTGCATTTGGGGGCGGTGGGGATGGACGTGGACTAATTTCTTCCTAAGGTTCCAAAAATTGTTTTCCAGGTCACAAAGCACTGAGCAAAATGAGCTCCATATCCAGTTTATGTGGTATGTTACAAGGGAACCTGGTCTCTGCGACTCAGAGTCGCAGCGACCAGGTTCCATGAGCATTTTTTTTTTTTTTTTTTTTTGAGATACAGCCTGTGTTTCAAGGGGCCAGGGTTGAGCTATTTCCCTTCTCATCAAGCAAAAATCTGGCATCCCATTGGTCTGTCCAGATGTAATTTTGTTTGGGTTTTTACACTGTTTGATTGAGATCAAGTCATGAATGTCTGTTCTCTAAATGGGCAGAGGGATGGCAATTTATGAGGTCTGAGGATGCCTGATGTTTAGCTCAAAAGCACAGCCAGATGGATTTGGGCGCGAGGGAATGCGGCACGGCGTGGCCGCCCTGGCCACTATCAGGGCAATTTCTCTTTTTATAAACTAGTGAAAACCAGAGCAGGCGGGCGTAGTTTTGATACTCTGCTATCTGGGGCTGCATGGGTGGTATGGACCAGATGGAAAGAATCTCTAATCATGCAAATGGGACTTTGTTCTAGGGAGACTTTTTAACGTTCCTGTTGACATTGTATTTGTGCAAGGGCGACCTCGATGATCAGACTGTCCACACACTTTCTGGTTAGCATTGGGGATGGTGAACATGCAAGTGGCGTCCACCCACATCCTCTGCTTTAGGCCCTGAGGGATTTCCAGGGGCTCACCCGCTGTTCTCTTCAGGTTTCATCAGCTTCTCTGGTTGTTCAAACGTGTAGAAGAAATGCAGCTGGTGGCAGGGATAAAGGCCAGAATGATGGGTCTCCCCTGACTCCTGGGAAGACCTAGAGCCAATGAGTAGCGGAGCAGGGGGTGCTGGCTCCCAGCATCGGGCTGTTGTGGGTCCTCTCCTCCCAGCGTGGGCATTTTTGAAACAATGCCTGTAAGAAACGCCTAAGATTTAGATATCTGATTGTTGTCTATTTCTATTAAAATATACCTGGATTGGGGGTGAGATAAAAAAAAAAAAATAGTGTTAAGTCATGAGGATGAAAGAGAGGGAGTGAAGAGAAGCCTGGTGGTGGGGAGAGGGAAAGTGGAGGAGAGGCTGTGGGGAAAGGAGGGAAAAGGATGAAGAAAACAGAACGCAGTTCTCGGCTCTAGATCTGTGTTGTCTCAGCTGGGACTCTGCGCCTACTAATGTCCTTGTCACCCTTTTCTCCACCACAGCCTCCTGCTCCCATTCTGAGTCTCGGGTCAAGCCTGCCCACTCCTCAGCACAGAGCTGATGCCTCTTCCCCTCTGCTTATTTTCATTCTGCACAGGCTGTCTGTCCTTCTCTCTCCTGGAAGGAGGAAATGAGTATCTTCCCCAGCATCCTCATTCATGCTAGGCTCTCATAAATGAATGAATGAATGAATGAAAATAACAAGAGATTTACCAAATACTGCTAGTGTAAATCCAAGAACATTTAATTAGGTACTATTATAAGCATTTGCTAATAATAGAAATACAACGTATTGATGATAAGTGAAACAGGGGTGGTAATGTCATACTCAAGAGATTTCTTTCTATTCTAACAACAGCTGGTTATAATGCCCTTTTAAAAAAGGGTATATACCTGTCAGTATTATAAAATGGATCTCATTCTATTAACAAGCTTATGTAGAAGCTGAGTGAGGTCCTTTTTAAAACATATACAAATACAGGTAGTTAAGATAAGCCAGGCTTACCTATCCAGGAACTAGATGAATGTCCAGTCTGAGATACATTGACTTAAAGGCAGTTTTCGTTTTCATTTCTGAACTCAGTGACCGAGCTGTCGCCAGAAGTTCACTGCACCTGAGACCAGGCAAGCTCCAAAAACAGGAACCAAATAATCAAATGCGTGGGTCCCTAACAAACTTATCACCTGACTTTATTCCCAGGAGACCCTTGAAAGATGAGGAAGGAACTGACTTCCACCTTCGCCGATGGGGATACAGGAGCCTAGTGAGCTTATGGCACCCATTGCACCCACCGAGGCAGCTGGGCAGTGCAACAGGAGTCTGACCTCTTATTCAGTCTGTTCCTGCCAGGGAGAGAGGAGCATGGAGCCAGGGTCCATTCAGCATAGAAAGAACTCCGTGGGTGGGCGCTGGTCTCTGCCTTCCGCTCCCAGGCCACAGAAAGCCAGAGACTGAGTTGCTTTTCTGGTTGTGTTCAGGGTAGTAACAAAGAGAGGTGATTCAACAGAAGGATTGCAATTAGACACCAAGGAGAACTTCTGTTTGCCAGGAGGATCTTAAAGCTGAAATAAACTAGTAAGGTTCTTAGGGAGTGTAACTCTGCTGCCACTGTTTCTCCTGCAGAATTACTAAGGTCTCAGACCCTTTGGTACGGATTCTCACTCAATTCCCAACTCCAGGCAGAGAAAGGGCAAGTAGCTTCCACTCTGAATCCCCAGCCTCCCTCCAGCTTGAGCTCCATGCTTTATTTATGTGAAAAAAATGTTTTCATGTCAGCATTTAACTCTCCTCGCTGCAGAAGGTGGTTTCCCCAAACTGCTGCGAGCGTTCCTTGCCTGTATATTTTATTCATACGGATCTGGTGTTGGCCCATTCCTTCCGGGAAGAGCTGAAATCTGCCCTAGAGGCATCAGATGGAGTAGTCAGATTGTCAAGTGTGTCTCCTAATTGAAGTGAACATTGGCGCAGTGTTTGTCGACTGGAAATAAACAGCCTCAGTGAAGTAGCAGGTTTACAACCTTCGTGTGCTTGCTCGGATCTTGCTGAGAGTTGAAGGAAACATGCAGAGAGAGGAGCGATTTCTCTTGGAAATGGAAACATTGCAGGGATGTCTTTCTTAGACATCTAGGGGAATCTGCTAGAGCCAGGAACGGCTGACTCGGGGCCTGCACAGAGCAGTCAGCTGGGATTGTTTCTGGCCCTCCTGTCCCTGGGTGCTTCCTCCTCCATCATTCAAGGGTTCGGGATCAGCCTGCTTGCTGTCCCCCATCAAACCCTCTTATTGGCAAGTCTCTGCTATCAGAGTTTGAAGAACAAAAAGTGAAAGTGTGGTCAAGTCAAAAAGAGGCCCAAGGACCCTCTCCACAGCTTTTCACAATGAGCCCCAGCAAATGCAGAAGCTCTGGGCCCACAACACTGTCCCAGCCTCCAGTGCCCCTGCATGGGTCCTGCTGACAGCTTTGTAGTGAACATTCTTGAGGGATGGGGATGGGGATGGGTCAGACCCCCTGTTGCCCAGCTGCCTCGGTGGGTGCCATTAGCTCACTAGGCTCCTGTACCCCCATCAACAAAGGTGAAAGTCGCTTCCTAATCTTGCAAGGGTCTCCTGGAAATGAAGTCAGGTGATAAGAGAGTAGGAAGTGAAAACCTGATATAAATGGAGGACTCATTCTTGGGGGACAGTTTGGGAGTCAATGCAAAGCCTTGCAAATGAGAATGTTGGTTCTCCCCAAGGTCATGCTCCAGAGCAAGTAAGAGAAAGGGACCCAAGTTAAGCCCAAAGCTGAAACCCTGCCTTTCTGATAAGGCTGTGCAAAAATCACAGGGGGTGAGTGACCTCCCTCCAGTCTTGGGAAAGCCATGTGTGCCCCTCCCACCACTTTCTTGCTTTCCTCCAGAGACCCATCGGCAGTTGGCCATTTCCTTCCATGAAAGTTCCCTGTGGGCCCAGTTGCTCATCTCCTGCTTGCCATCGCCCTTCTCTGGTCCATTCCAGTTAGCACTAATCCACCAGCCCCTGGACACCCTCCCCCACTGCCCCCCTGTGGAAGCTGAGCTGGCAGGTCCTGACTTCTGGAAGGTCCTAATTTGTCCTCCGTTTAGTCTAGATGGGGAAGCTGGCCTGAAAGTATTCACAAGCGCCATAAACCCTACTCTGCTTTCTCTGGTAGTGACTGGCTTTTCTCCCCTCCTCAGAGGAGAGGGAATAGGGGGGGGGGGGGGGGAGACCGAGACAGCACGTTCCTGCAGTGACTCTGAAAAGGCATTGACTCTTGAGGATAGAAGAGAGACATCTTGCTTCTAAGGTCCCTGCAAAAAGTCTTTGTGACCTTTCCCTGTGACCTCCAGTCAGGGCAGGACTTCCTCCCCACACATCCTTTCATTCTGAATCGCCAGCTCTCTCTTTGCACTTTGTTTTGTAATCTGCATCTGCTTCAGCCACTGCATTAGCATCTCTTGAGGGCAGAGATGTTGCTTTCACATCCACATCTCCAGGACAAGCCTATCATAGAGTCTTATTGCTAAATTGAAGAAACTTTCCCTAACTGAACAAGCAAATGAACCTCAGTCACCTCCCTCCCACCTCCTAGCCTTGTGCTTTATCAGAACAGGTGAGCCAAGTTAGTTATGCTAAGAAAATATGAAACCATCTTTTATCACCAGCTTTTAGGGACATTGAGATGAATCTTAAAAAGTCAAACTGTGGTTTTATGCTTTGTTGCGAGTCATTTGTTCATTAGGGTTAATGTAAACCAAGGGATGATGGGGGTGGAGACACAGTATAATTTCCCTATTGTAAGCTTGACCTGTCCTTGT